CAGACGTGAAGCTGGAGCCCAACACCATCACGTACGGCACCCTGAACAGCGCGCGCGCGAGAAGAGCGCGCGTTCGCAGTGGCAGCTGCCTCGAGGGCAGCGGCAGGGAGTGCAGTGGCCGCGGCTGTGGCACGGTGGGGGGAGATGGGGCGCACGACGACGGTTGCGTCAGCACGTTGGATGGAGGAGGGGGCGGCTGTGGCAGCATTCGGCATCAGGTAAATGCGAAATGAACACGTGCAGACGGCCATCAGCCGTATCCCTGGCTATCCCACTCTCCCTAGTGTCTACGGCCATCAGCCGTGTTCTCTCAGGTTACACGCGTATGTACGGCCGTCAGCCGTTCCTGGCCTTCGGGTGCTATGCTTTGCCCTGGTCGCTATGCCATTCCTGGATTGGCTTCGGTCTCCTGCTGCGCACGTGCAGACGGCCGTCAGCCGTTCCTGGATTCCTTTCCCTGGCACAGCCAGTTACCTTCGTGGCAAGTCTGCATCCGATGTCCGGGTCTATACGTCCATGCAGACAACCCTGGCGGTAACCAGTGCTCTCGGGACGCAGGGCCCGTCAGTCCAGAAGAGAGCGGGCGCGTTCTTCGCGTTTCTGTCCCTCCCTGGCAGCCGCTCAGACCCTGGGTCACAGCAGCGCCCCACAGCAGCTACCCGCGACCGCCCTGGGGTAGGGCCGCTGCGGGAAGGCGCGCGCCCCACCGACAGAGCCTTCGCAGCCACCAGAAACCTGCACCTCGGATCGGGCAGCGGCGTGTGGGAAGGACAGCCATCCCCGATGGAGGTGGATGACAGCAGCACCAGCCCCCTGGCGACAGCCCCCTTGCGTCAACATCCACCGCAGCAGCAGCAGCAGCAGCCCCCTGGCGACAGTCAGGAAGATCCCACGTCAGACACTCCTGGAGACAGCATCGGTGCGACAGTTGGCAGCGCCGCAGGGGGCGCGCCCGCGCTCGGAGACGCCCCTCGCAATTCGGGCAGCCTGGGAGATGCTTCCTGGCACGGCCGTCTCTCGCGGTGGGTCCCAGGGGAACGAGGCGCCCTTAGCGTCCGACGAGACGGCCGTCTGCCGTATGTACCTGCAGTCTCCGGCGTGCATCGCTCACGCGGCCATCTGCCGTCCCCTGGCACTCTCTCTTTCTACTGGGAAAGGACGAGACGGCCATCAGCCGTTGGTCCCTATACATGAAGGATGGGACGGCCATCGGTCGTATGTACCTGCAGCCTGACTTTCAGCGCTCGTACGGCCATCAGCCGTCCCTTGGCGTTGGACAGCCCTGGAGGACGCCTCTTTCCCCTCGCTGGGCAGGTGATGTCAGTTCCCACCTGCCCCGGTCTCCCCTTCCCGCGCAATCCGCGGTTCCATGCGGCGTCTCCGACGCGCGCCCCCTGGCCCGTCCCCTCGTCTGCGTCTGCAATCCCTGGGCTTCTGGTCTACAGTATTTGCCTCAGCTGGCCGTGACTGGTGCCGGCCCTTCGGGGGCTCGTCTGCCGTCTCACTCAGGAGTGGTTCAGCCTTCTTGCAGTGGTCTGCGCACCCCCCACTGTCGCGTCGTTACCGCCTTGTCTTGGCACGTACCTCGCCGCGGCTGCGGCCCTTGCCCCTGGCGCCCTGCGGCGGCAAGGCCGTGTGAGTACCTGGTGACTTCCTCCCGCGGTACCCACTTGAGTTCGAGTGCGCTCGCGCCTCTCGGGCTCTGTGCACCTAGTTGCGCGCCGCCTTCCCGGGTCCGCCCGTCTGGTGGCACCGCTCCGCTTGGCAGACGTGTGGTCTGTTGGTGCAGAACAGGTCACGACCTCTCCTGGCGTGTAGGATCCAATTCGCTCGCATGTGTGCATCAGCTACCCTGGCCGTTTGCAGTCAGCTCCGCCAGCTCAGCCTCAGCCTGCGGCCCCGCCGGCGGTAGGTTCTGATTCCAGGCTCGGCCGCTGTGCTCTTCGGCTCGCGGGTTGCTAACTTGGCGGGCCCATGGCCCGGGTCTCTCAGCTCGGCGACTGCGATTCCGCGTCCGCCCGCGACCAAGAAAAAGTGCTCCCACCTGCCTGTTTGCCTGATCCGCACCGAGCGATCGACCTCTGCGTGTTTAAGGTCGCGCCTCCCCGCCATTTTGGCTGCGCTTACTTGCTGGTCGCCGCCGGAATTTCCAAGGCCACTGGGTTTGGGAGTATCGGTTCTGGCTCTCCTTCTGAGTGGCTGCCCGCTCGCTCGCTTCGCTTGCTTATCTTTTCCTGCTGCCTAGTCGCGGCCCGACAAGTGTTCGGACGGCTTTCGACCCGCCTCGCGAGCCTGTTGACCAAAAAGTATCCCCACCAGCCTTCGGTTTTGCGGCGGGAGCTCACGTGCCCATCGCTGGCCGAGGCTCCTCTGAAGACCCGTTCTGCCGGATTGGGATACCTGGGGGGCAGGGATCTGTTCGCCCTTCCAGGTCCGCGCACGCTTGCACGGTGAGCTTACGCTGGGTGGTTCACTGTATATTGATTGACGAAGGCCTCGCGGTCCTCACGCTGTGGGTTTGAGGGTATCGAGTTCACTGGTGTCGGGCTCGTGACCTTCGGCTTTTGAGCTGGGCCGTGGTAGTCGCCTGGCCATTTTCGCTGCCGCTTCGCCGCTCGCGGTCGGTTTCGGCCCCGCCCTTTTTCCGCGCTCGCCTGCTGTGGTGTGGGCATCTGCCCTGCCTCACGTAGGCCTGGTGTTAGTTCGACCCCTTGCAGCCGCGCGGCTGCCCACTTGCGGCGAAAGACCCAACCATATGCAGTTGTGAGTACCGCATTTGTGAATATCTTCTTCGGTGGCGTTCCCTATGGATCCACGAAGCGCTGTACTGAGTGGGTGAAACGCAGGAAGCAAGGGCCGTGTTGGGTGGTGGCGGACGCATGCGGGCGGTGCCATTGGGACCTTCCGTGGAGCCCCCTTATGGGGCCACGAAACGCTGTACTGGGTGGGTGAAGCGCAGGGAGCAAGGGCTGTGCTGGGTGGTGGCGGACGCATGTGGGCGGTGCCATTGGGGGCTTCGGTGGAGCCCCCTTATGGGTCCACGAGACGCTGTATTGGGTGGGTGAAACGCAGGGGGCAAGGGCTGTGCTGGGTGGTGGCGGACGCATGCGGGCGGTGCCGGTGGGGGCTTCTGTGGAGCTCCCTATGGGGCCACGAAACGCTGTGCTGGGTGGGTGAAGCGCGGGGAGCAAGGGCTGTGCTGGGTGGTGGCGGACGCATGCGGGCGGTGCCACTGGGACCTTCGGTGGAACTCCCTATGGGACCACGAAGCGCTGTAATGGGTGGGTGAAACGCACGGAGCAAAGACTGTGCTGGGTGGTGGCGGACGCATGCGGGCGGTGCCGGTGGGACCTTCGGTGGAGCCCCCTTTATGGGGCCACGAAGCGCTGTGCTGGGTGGGTGAAAATCAGGGAGCAATGGCTGTGCTGGGTGGTGGCGGACGCATGCGGGCGGTGCCAGTGGGGGCTCCGGTGGAGCTCCCTATGGGGCCACGAAGCGCTGTGTTGGGTGGGTGAAACGCAGGGAAGAGGGAGGAGGGAAGAGGAGGGGGAAGAGGAGGAACAGAGGAAAAGAACGCGGGGACCGTCTCTTCAAAACGAGGACCCAACACCGCAGGATGGTTGGCGAAAAAGTATCCCCACCAACCCATCCAGAAAATATGTTTAGGCGAGTTGAGGTGATCAGGGAAATGCTGGAGCAAAGAGGGAGACGACCGAACCGTGCGAAGGAAGAGGAAACAGGAGGAGGCTGGATGGATGGATGAGGAAGTGGGAGCAAAATGGTGAATAGGATGATGATGATGATGATGATGATGATGATGATGATGATGATGATGATGATGATGATGATGATGATGATGATGATGATGATGATGCTGATGATGATGATGCTGATCATGGTGATGATGGTGGTGGTGGTGTTCATGATGATGCTGCGGCCGATGATGGTGCTGCGGCCGATGATGATGATGCTGGTGGTGTTGGTGGTGGTGATGATGATGACGATGACGATGACGATGATGCTGATGATGCTGATGACGCTGATGATGATGATGGTGATGATGATGATGG